GTTTATGTCTTAAAATCATATTTTCTTCATAAGCTGTTTCGTTAGATAAATCTTCTATAATAATCTGTTGATGCCATGTTTAATTAAAATTATCTGTAAAAAAAAAATTATATATATTAGTTATATTTCAAATAATAAATGGCATATCAGCCATCCACCTATTAATATGACAATCGATGGTCAATTTTACATTTCCCCGCCCTCCACACTAATTGCTAATGATGTGCTCTGTTTTTGTTCCAACGATAACCCCGATAAGTTGTATTAGCTCATATTCAGAGTGCAACTGGCGTTTTGCAGAAAATTTTTGTATCAATAAAAAATATAAATATGATTATTATTTTTTTGTAAATAATCGGATTAAAAAAAAAAATCAAATGATACCTTTTAATAAAATGATTAATAATTTTATAATTTTATATACCATAATTATTTCGATAAATAGTCAAATTAAATTTTTTGTTAGTCTTAATGTAATTAATCATTGTAATGAACAAAAATATAATATAATATAAATGAAGGGATCGGTGAGTATAAAATAAATATAGGGGTCTCGGGGTTTGGTATAAATAGTAAATTCTGGATTTAGTAATTTAAAGAACTCAAAATAATTATACCTATCTTACTTATATTTTTACTACGTGAAGTTTTAAGGGGTAAAACATGCAAAACTTATTCACACTTACCTTTGATTCTTTCGTAGTTTTATGTATTAATCTTGCAATAATTGTTTAATTCAGTGTTAACAATTGTTTATAGGATCTTGCGTTTATTTTTATTAATTAGATTTTATTCATTAACACGCCTTTTTATTACCTTCTATTACCTATATTTACAATATACGTCGTTCATAAAATACGCACTTAAAAAGATTCTCTGTGATTGGACCGGTGTCTATTAATATATATTTATATTTGATACTTTTCACTCTTTTCATATTATACTATGTGTTTCATTAATAATATTTTTGATGAATTCTCTATAGTTGATAACGATATTCTTAAAACTCGCTCTGAACTTGTCAAAATATAATTAAAAAAGGGAGAACTCAGCCTTAGGACTGGCGTGTACATGGACTTCTGTTATGTTATCTAATATCGATTATAATACTCTGTTCGGCTCATTTAAAGCTGTCCACGAGTGGAGCATCAACAAGGTATACAATAATAAAATAAATAAATAGGGCAATTGTACCTGAATAAATGAAATTACGGTACTTTACTTCGTTCGGTATATTTAAGGCCGTTCATGAACGAATGCCATAATAATATTTAAAACTGTTCAACAAAAATATGACTATTATATCTGAATAAATATTATGTTTTTTCACTCTATTCAGCAAATATAAGGTTGCCCAGAAATGAAGGGCACAAAAATATTTGAAATTATTAAATATGATAAAATAATATTAATTTCTTAATGGTACTATATTTTAGTGTTTTATAATGATAATCCTAATGATTATAAATCCGGGAAAGTATTCTCCTTATATTTCATGATAACACTAATATTATATAATATAATACGTAGTAATAATTTTCTCAATGAATATTTTCCTCAATAGTATATTTCATAATAATATGATACTAATTTTTCCAAAAGAATATTTTCCTCGTTGATACATTCCGGCGTTAGTTAATTTCGATCTAATACTGTCCCATGTAATCTCATTCCTCTGAATTACGTTTCCTAATTTTTTCGTTCCTATCAATATTTTTTACTGATAAATATTTTACCAAAAAAAAAACCATTCCTAGCTAATATATTCCCGACTCGTAAGCGTGTCTGTTGAATTATATCGATAATAAAATCAAATAATTGGACCGAATTTATTGAGTCTAATTTAGTAAATTTATTTGTTTTTGAATTTTGTATAACATGTGAAAATGTGATTTTGTGAGTCTCTTGAGTCGATTAAATGTCTTAAATTTTTTTATTTTTATGGGATTATTTAAAAACATGAATAGAGTTTTGCTTCGATGCGAAGCTGAGAAGGTATTGGTTTTACTAAGATGTGTTTATTATTTTTTTTTTTTTGTGTCTGTTACCACTTTTTCTCAGCTCTCACCGAACCGATTTCTTTCAATGATACGTCAAAAGATCACAAATCGTATCTAGTCGAAGACATTACCCTTAAAAATTGAAAAAAATTCCCTCGTTCCCCGTAAATGGGGGAAACCTCCAAAAAAATTACAAATTTAAAAATCGCTAATTTTCAAAATTTTTTCAATTTTTTTTACTTAAAAGTGCCATAACTTTTTCAAAAATGAACATATAAATATAATTCTTTTTTATATAGTTGCATAATATCATTACCTTTCATTTGGTATATTTTTAAAGGGCACAGTATTTCCGGAACATTTTAAAAAATTCAGTTGAAAAAGTTCTATTTTTTATAGAATGTTTCAAGTTTTATATGGGAAAATTGTCCAATTTAAAAAAAAGTATGTCAAATGAAAGATGTACTTATAATGTATTTAGAAAAAAAAATTTGTGCTGATAATTATATTTTTCAAAAAGTTATTTTTTTTTTTTCATTTTATACTACATAAAATAAGCTTTAATTTGACATATGTTTAAAGGACGCAGTATTTCCGGAACATTTTCAAAAATTAAGTTGAAAAAGTTAATTTTTGTAAAAAAGTTGTTATTTTAAATCCCCCCCCAATGAGCAGGTTAAGTGTTAGATTTTCAGAAAAATGATATCAAACGAAAGGGAAATATCTAAGGTTTTAGTATAAAAAAAAATTATGTTGATTTGTCGATTTTTGAAGTTATGGAAGTTTTAAGAAAAAAAGTGAAAAAAATGACAAAATTTGTCGATTTTAAAAATTGTAATTTTTTTGGATATTTCCCCCATTTGCGGGGAACGAGGGAAAATTTTTCAATTTTTAAGGGTAATGTCTTCAACTAGATACAATTTGTGATCTTTTGACGTATTGTTAAAAGAAATCGGTCCAGTGAGAGCTGAGAAAAAGTAGTGACAGACACAAAAAAAAAAAAAAAAAAAAAACACATCATAGTAAAATTAATACCTTCTCCGCTTCGCATCGAAGCTAAAAAATTTATTAAGTTTAATTTCTTATGTCTTATGAACTTTATTCTATGTCAATTAAATTATATAATATTCATGAAAGTCAGTATATTCCCCTAATAAGATATTTTAAAATAAAATAAAATACAAAACCTAGAATTTTAATAGAAAAATAGCATATTTTTGAATACGGTAGCCATTTGCGCATAGAAGATAGGTCGTCGGGACAAATTTTTTTTTTTATTTTAGTAGTACATAAAATAAGCTTTAATTTGATATATGTTTAAAGGACGCAGTATTTCCGGAACATTTTCAAAAATTAAGTTGAAAAAGTTAATTTTTGTAAAAAAGTTGTTATTTTAAATCCCCCCCCCATGAGCAGGTTAAGTGTTAGATTTTCAGAAAAATGATATCAAACGAAAGGGAAATATCTAAGGTTTTAGTATAAAAAAAAATTATGTTGATTTGTCGATTTTTGAAGTTATGGAAGTTTTAAGAAAAAAAGTGAAAAAAATGACAAAATTTACCGATTTTAAAAATTGTAATTTTTTTGGATATTTCCCCCATTTGCGGGGAACGAGTGAAAATTTTTCTATTTTTAAGGGTAATGTCTTCATCTAGATACAATTTGTGATCTTTTGACGTATTTTTGAAAGAAATCGGTCCAGTGAGAGCTGAGAAAAAGTGGCAACAGACTTAAAAAAAAAAAAAAAAAAAACACATCATAGTAAAATTAATATCTTCTCAGCTTCCCATCTAAGCTAAAAAAACTGAAAATTTAACATCGATTATTCGAAGGTTGGTAATAAAAGATGTTAAATTCTTGTATAGTTTGTATGAAAGGGAAGTAAATGAAAAGAATAAAAGGAAACTTTTATAAACTTATATTTACAGATGTCTAATAGACTGGTAAATTTCTTTTAAACATTTTTATTTTTAACTTAACTTAACTTTGCAATATGTGTACGTATATGTTAATTATATCTTTGTAAGTTAACAGTTCACTATTAAAAAAATGAATTATATAATTTTGATGTATAGTTGTACTAAATAGTAAGTTCATTAAAGATTCTTAAAAGAGTTGTCATATTTTATTAATTATAAGGATGCTGTGACATTATCTCAATATCTTGGGCAGAATCTTGAATTGTGTATTTTTTACGGATTAGGTTATCAAGATTTTGATCATTTTCATTTCTCATTGCATAGTATTCCACATGACATACATTATCCATACATTTGACATATTGTTTTATAATAAGTGGATTACTTATGTAGTCAATATAAGCTTTCAATGCGCATTTCACAACGGAACCGTTTTCGCATAATTTTGTTGCGTCTAAATAAATAAAAATGTTATACATGGAACTATCTATGAATAAAAATGTTTCAATAATAAAACGATCTAGTTAAGAAATATATTAATAAAATTTGTCGCATAATTTAGTTTCGTCTAAAAAAATATTTTAATTAATTTTGAAAAATAGATTTATAATATATTTTTGACGATTGAAATGGCATGTAATGCCATATGCGTTACAAGGTAGCTATGTTATGTTGGTATTTTAATAATTTGAACCATGTCCTACAACATAATTTTATAAAATTGGTGCATGATACCAAAACAAAAGTTTTTCTTTATAATATTAATTAGTTAGCTTATAAGTCAGACTTCCAAATAAGTAAACAAAATGTATGATATTTTCGAATATGTTTAGGAATAAACCTATGTTATATATAATAGATAATCTGGCTTCTGAATTTTTGGAGATTTGCTCGTCATTTTTGTATTAACGGTCATTTTATTAAACATTCATTATTAAACATCATGAAATAATTTTAGGAAAATTAAAAAAAAAAATTTAATTTTTGTATTGTAATTTTACTGTGTAATTTTCGCCTAATCGGTAACTAGTCAAAATTCTAAATGGATTTCGAATAAAAATTAAAAAAAAGAAAATTACTATTTACTGTGTAATTAATGGTTTTTGATTTATTAATCCTAAATAATAGTTTATTGAATTTTACATACGAAAATCTTCTAGAAGCATGTCTTCTACTAACTCTTTAATTAAAGCGAATCGTTTTTCTACTTCGTCATTGTAGGATAATTTTGAAACTAAAATAAAAGCAAAACTTTCATTTGTGTATATCCTACTGGTTTAATTTACGTAAAACATTACCATCATCCTCGGGAAGATTTTGTTTAACTATAAAGAAAACTCCAAATTAAAAATATGTTTTAAGTAGGATTACAATTTTTAAATATAAATAATTAAATCGTATAATTATTCCTTTAATTGTTGATAAAATATCAAGGAAATTTGAAGAATGGGGGCTACGTTATGTAGAAATTTAGGTTTCTATTTCATATGAATGATGATAGATTTAATAAAAAAAAATAGTATTTCATGAAATAATCCTAGAAATTAACAGACAATATATTTTATTCCTCTATTCATGGAACACACAAAGTCAACTTGATCACCCAAATAACACTTTTAAAAGTTATTTAAAAAATTAGGTTATCGCATGAATTTCGGATAGGGGATAGCATTTTTCTAGCTTATGAGTGTGGGGAATTGTTTCAATGATTTAAACTGTTGTCGTTAATGTTTGCACCCCTTGGGAAATTTTTCAGCGAGCGTTCCTGGTGCTATTCTATTGACAATTTCAGTAGGTATATATTTTATTATTTAGGACTTCAAACGATGTATCAATGTTTAAACTTTTATTTTAATATGACTCTATTAATATATTATCTGATTTAGTAGATTAACGATTTTGGAATAATTATTTTTAATTAGTAAAAAAGGTAGTGGCTACCAGTACTGAACCAAAACTAGCATACATCTGGGATGATAACGTCATTCCAGTTCTGTCCAATCAGTACTGCCGGTCTTGTACAACCAGTATTAAGTTAGCAAAGGCACCCAAGTACTGACTGCCAATACTGGATTAGTACTCAGACAAGATACCAGCCGGTACTACACTCTCACTTGTCAGTTGCCAGTATTGGTGCATTACTTCACCCGTTGTCAATACTGGTACTTTACACAAATTTCTGCTTAAGTATTATTTTAATGGGATATGATGTGGTAGGTAATGCGGCTGTGATTGAGGTACACTGTGACGGGTTTCGGGACTAGTTCACGAATGGTTTCTGACGAGAGTTTAGCTTAGTATTTGGAGTCGTCTTTCTTTTGGACGCCAAACATCATCCAATCGGGAGTAATTATGGTTAAGACATCTCCTCTTTAGTAAAGGTCACATATTTTCCATTGTATCTTGTAGACAATTAAACGAATTAAAAATCATGTTACTTATTGTACAACACTTACGAATTTATTAAGTGCACTAGATAAAATATATATCATAAAATATAAAATGGTATAATATAGCACAAAACATCTATAGAATTTACACAAATCTACACTGAATTTTTTTTTTATAATACGATTTTGGTGAATACCACTTAATTAATAATAAAATAATCCAATATTCTACATGTTTTACTGAAAAGCTAACTTACCATTACAGAATAAATGTTCACGAAACGTTCTCTCAACATACGCATTACGTTGAATATCTTTATCTAAGATATAATTATTTATAATCAATATATTTTATTAACAAGACATCGGAATTAGAATTTTTTCTCCATTACCTAATTATACATTAAAAATATCTTATAATATGTAAATTATAGTAAGAAACTTTTAGTTAATTTTAATTTTTATTAAAAACATTATTTTATTAATTATACATATATACAAATCTGGTCAATTTAGCACGATTTTTAACTCGTTAGTTAATTTTTGTAAAATTAAGTTAAATAATATTTTTTTTTTACTTCGTTATTTAATTTATGAAATTGGTGAATAATTACAAAAGCCACTTCATCTTTTATTTCTTTAATTATATTCTGATTATAAGTTTTATGATTTATAAGTGTAATATATGAATAAATATATATATATATATAGTACTTATCTAAAAAAAAAAATGTAATGATCCATACATTTTTCAATAACTTATAGCATTATAAAGTTAAAAATATAAAAAAATTTTTTTTTACAAAAATCGTACTTTTTTTATAAACTTTGATGTCTATTTTTACCGTGAAGCCAAAATTAAGTTGAAAAAGTTCTACTTCTTATATGCAATTTTAAGATTTGAACCCCCCCTGTATTAAGGAAAACAGTCCAATTTAAAAAAAAAGTACGTCGAATAAAAGAAGTTTATAAATATTATTTCTCATAAAAAAATTGTATTAATCCATAAATTTTCAAAAAGTTAAAGCATTTTAACGTTAAAAATGTAAAATATAAAGTCGAGAATTTTAACACAAAAAAACACATCATAGTAAAATTAATACCTTAATTAAATAAGAATAATAAAACAATTATTAATCCTATTTTTAGCTTCGATGCGAAGCTCAGAAGGTATTGGTTTTACTAAGATATGTTTATTTTTTTTTTTGTGTCTGTTACCACTTTTTCTCAGCTCTCACCGAACGGATTTCTTTCAAGGATACGTCAAAAGATCACAAATTGTATTTAGTCGAAGACATTACTCTCAAAAATTGAAAAAATTCCCCTCGTTCCCCATAAATGGGGGAAACCTCCAAATAAATTACAAATTTAAAATTCGCTAATTTTCGAAATTTTTTCAATTTTTTTTACTAAAAAGTGACGTAACTTTTTCAAAAATGAACATATCAATATAATTTTTTTTTATTGATTTTTGATGTCTTTACCTATCATTTGGTATATATTTTTTGTAAATCCGACACTTAACCTGCCCACAGAGGGGGATTTAAAATGACAACTTTTCACAAAAAATTAACTTTTGAAAATATTCCGGAAAGTGTGACACTTTTATATATATTTAAAATTAAAGCTAATGTAATATATAGTAGATAGATAAAATGTTTTATCTTAACTGTGGTGTAGGTATAAAATATCATATATACAAAAGTAATAAAATTCACTCATATGCAAAAAAACTCATATTTTCATGGCATCCTAAGGCACTTGCCTTTATCATCCCCTTTAAAACGACCCTGCATAATAATGAATGTTCTATAAATTCAATTCTTTACCACCTTCTGAGAAATTTCAAAACCAGTATTGTATTAAATTAATATTTTGTCATGGCAGTACAAAATATACATTTCTGATGAATAAAATATTATAAGGAATCAGATACTTAAAAAAATATTCGAGCAATCTAAAATACAAATTTAACACAAATTTAATTCTACCATAATAAATTTATTTGAAGTTAACACGTTTTTCATGTTAACAAAATTAATAATGATTAATTCTAAAATAATAAATTAATCTGTAATTTATATAAAATATAATATAAATATAAACATAATTATANTGGGGAGTGATATTCGGATCTTTGGTTGCTTGAGCATATGATTTGGATTGAGAATACGAATTTGAAGTGGTGTTTACATAAATGGGCTGTACATTATTTGTATTATTTTGTTGAGAATGTGAAATTGTTTGAGTTTTCTTGGGATTACGAGATGATTGAATTTCTTTATGTTTGGGACAGCCTCGATAGTTTGCTGGGTGGTTACCCTGACAAAGCGCACACTTGGCGGGTTGGTCGGTGGGTTTTTGGCAGGAATCTGATAGGTGATGTTCGCCACATCGAACGCATTTGGGTGTATGATTGCAGTAAGCTTTTGTGTGGCCGTATTCTTGGCATCGAAGGCATTGGACTATGTGGCGTTTAACTCGAGGTTCTTCTATTTTAATTTTAGTGTAGCATAGGAATTCGATTTTGAAGATATCTTTATTGTTTATGGCTGGTTCTAGATCTACGAAGAATAATGGGAGCGGGACCTTAGTGTTATATTGTAGAACGTTTGTTACGTTTCTAGCGATGTGACCGAGATCAAGTAACTCTTTTTTGATATCATCAAGAGGGATTGTGTGATGTAGGTTTCTGATAACAATTCTAAAGGCTCGATCTTGTTTTGATTGATAAGTATGATAGTCCGCTTTGCTGGATTTTAGAAATTTTATTACTTCTCTGTACGAGTTTGGTGATGTAGTTAGGAGTTTAACTCCATTGGTGGAGCTCTTACAAGTGAATGGTTCGCCTTTTGTTAATAATTTAATTTGAGAGCAAAATGATTTGAAGTCATTTACTAAATTAATAAAGATTGGTGGAGGAGGTTTACTCTCTGAGTGTTCTAGAATGTCTCTATTAGGGTCGTTATCTTTGTTTTCAGAATAGTCATTGTTTTGATCATTGTTTGGTGGACTGAATAGAGAAAAGCGATTTGGCGTTACGAATTGTTTAGTTAATTTCGGGGATTGATTAGGTGAGTACTGACGTTTATGATTATTTTGAGTTTTCCAATCGTCGTTGGAGTTGGTTTCTGATGAAAAAGCTGATGAATCATTTGACACGCTCTGTATGCGTGACTTTTGGATAATGAGTGGAGATACAGTTTTATTATTTGTATTATTAGGCATTTTATAGGTAACGGCACTGATTAGGACCGTAGTGAGGTATCGCGTGTTGGTCAATAAAGCGTATAATGCGATAAGGCGTTAGTCCCGATCGCGGCGAGTCTTATATTTAGGTAAATTATACAATTATACATTACCCGACGGTACAAATACCGCGACGAGCGCTGGAAGCGATAACAATTCGATACAATACACACGCTATCGATAGCTGATAAAAGCGGAGCGCGTGACAATTAACGTGTGGACTGTACGACGTCTAAACACGAACTCTTATTTGAAGTTAACACGTTTTTTCATGTTAACAAAATTAATAATGATTAATTCTAAAATAATAAATTAATCTGTAATTTATATAAAATATAATATAAATATAAACATAATTATATAAATACAGCATTCAATATGGTTAAAATGTTCATGGTTTAATATGATAACATGTAAAAAATTGCCATCATAGTGTATATAAAATATACCATTGGAAACAATGCGTTTAGCAAAACTTTTTATATCTCAAATTAGGTATGAGGTAGGTAATTCTTAAATAAATTTTAAACAATTATTTTATATTATTAGCTTCGATGCGAAGCTGAGAAGATATTGCTTTTACTAAGATATGTTTATTATTTTTTTTTTTTTTTGTGTCTGTTACCACTTTTT